GACACAAGGGGATGAGGGGTTCTTATTCCATTTTCCTTTAGAATTTTATCATTTTCACCCTTCCACCATCTCTCTCTTTATCTTCCCTTTCTCGCACTCTCTTCTATCTCTATAAAGCCATCACCCTCTGAACTCTCTCTAGAACCCACCACCGACCTGAAATCGCTTTCGTTTGTGGTTCCCCTACGCCACCATCTGAACCTCTGTAGACCACCACCTTCAACCTTTTAAATAACCTCCTTCATTCAACCTCCAAGAACCCTAAGTTTAAAACTTGAACACTAACATGAGTTTTAAGAACTCTAACCCTAAGTGTTAGAATTCTAAACCTAACTTCAAACAAGACACAACCTACCACCCTGAAACCCACTGTAGACAACCACAACCCTCATCAAAGAAAATGAATCTTCATATTTACTGATCCACCTTCGACCACCAAAACCAAGAACACGACCAAACCAAACCCAAGCAACTCAAAACATCCACCAAAACATAGATCGAACCACACCCAATACTAATTCAAACCTCAAATCCCCCCAAACACCAATCAAACACAAGCCCTAATTTTTTAGATCTGAGTACCTGTGATCCTAAACTTAAACCAAAAAAGAAGCCATCAAACCTTAAACATGCCACAATAGACACATGCAAAGAGAAATAAAAAAGAAATCATAAAAAGAAAGTGGATGTGACCAACCTAAAGGGAGGAGAAATTCCATGGTGAGCAAAAGGTAACGCTGATCTTCTCTTTTAGTTTTTACCTTTTTATGCTTTTAACATCCTTTCCTTATCTCTTCTTACTTCTTTTATTTTGTTTGTGTGAGGTATTGTTGGCAATGGATGCATGATCCTGAAGCTTAGGGTTAATGTTGTTGTTCTTCGATGTGAAAAGCAATAACTTTAGGGTTTTATTTTGTAAATCGTGGCTAAGAAAAATTTGTTCATTAGGTCTTTATCTTTTATACTGTTATCATTAGGGTTTGATTTTATTGTAGATTAGATGAATTATGAAAGATTGGGCGTGCTCTCTATTATCTTTGTAATTTGGTTTTATTAGGTTTAGACATTTTGGGCTTCTGGAATTTTTGGATCAAATATGTATGTAATCATCGTATCAATCAATGAAAATATCCAATTTGTGCATGATTTGATTTTATTCATTTTTGCATTTTCGGCCTTCTGGTTTGGCGTGAACTTAGGGTTTGCATCTTGGGATATTGAACCTTGGGCTAGACCCTTTGACCCGTGTTGACTTGCTGACTCAATTAATAAAATAATAATAATTAAAATAATTAATGGACAACTGACTCTTGGATGACTCAATAAAAGAAAATAATTAAAAATAAATATGGATCTGACTCAATAATAAACAGACTCTTTAAATGATAATAATATTAATACTACTACTAATAATGACAATAATATTAAAAAATGTAAACGAAATTGAAGATATAAAAAATAACCATTAAAAGAGACAAAAGTCAAAATGGTCTCCCTTTGACTTTTGGGTCAATGGGGTTGACCCGAGACTTAGATGAAAGTGTCCCAGATGAAATCCAAGGTATACAAAATCTCAGATAAAAGCATATGTCTCGGATAAAATCAAAGTGACCTAATCAAAGTTCTAGTGACTCAGACAAAACTGACTTAAACTAAGGCAATGTATCATATGAGATTAACTAGGATTAGACAAATGCATTGAGTTAACTTGTTTCACTTAAACACAAAGACAGAGACACAAACATAAGACATGTGACTTAGGTGAAGTACCAATTCATTGACTTAGACAAAGGCAGATGAACAATTGGATAAAATTTAGAGTGTGACATTAGTGGAATGACTTTAAAATGAAAAAAATAATATATGAATCTTCTATCATATGATTAGTGCCGCTGAAATCAAAAACTCGATGTTGAGAAATAAAGGACAAGCACAAAGTAGGATTACTTGTTTAGACAAATGTGGTTGTGGTTTAAGATATATATGGTTGTTAGGAAATATGAAACTATTTTATATGTTAAATTCTTCATCACTCATAACTATCGTACTCCCTTCATTTTATAGGTTTAGAGGGCCTGGCTGAGACAGTATTAGTAAAGTGAGAATTAGCCAGTGTATGGGAACAACGATTTCGGTAGTGACCAAATTATCCATAATCAAAACACTAGATAACACTACTACCCACATGATCACTACCACTGCGACTTCCTTTACCTCAATTATGAAAACCAATGCGATCTCCATGTTCACAACTAAAGTTAGGCGGTCAGTGGAATCACTATCTATAATAGTAGGGCGTGATTCCAAAAAGGATGACTGTATAACCCATGAGAATACATTAATTAGGTTGTCATCCCGCTTACTAGACAAGATATGAGATCAAATACCCTCATACTCTGAATAAACACCAGAAATCCAACTCACGGCTATGACCTTCTTTTCCTAAGTTAATATCACTTTGAAAATCTATATGTTGAAACAGAAGTTATCTCATCATTATATTTCTTAAACTCTAGAAAATAATTCATCAACTTACGTCTATCCTGTTTGAGATGAAAAATCTCTTGCAAAAGAGAAATAATGTGATTCACATTATCAGATTTACCAAAATCAGATTTCAAAAAATCCCAATTTTTTTTCATAATCTTGTAGTGATTTATAACATATTGAACTCACCTATCAACAAAACTCACAAACAAGACATAAATATGTTTATTCTTTGTTCCATATTGTTGATGCTTTTGATTCTTTTAGACATGTTTTTGTTATATGTTCATCATTTCCCATTCCTTTGTGATTAACAACTACTAGATACTTCTTCTCCACATAGATCTCACCATCTCCTTCATTCTTGATGTTAATGAGTTTTGTGGACATAGTAATAAAATCGGTAATGAGCTTCTTTTAACTTCATTCAACACTATTTTCAATTCTTGACGACATTGCTTAACCAAGAACACAAAAAGGACGTGCAATTTTGACTTGAAACCTCACAAAACGTACTATATCAAATGTAGAACACCACAAAAATGCCACAAATAATCGATAAAACCACCGAACTTTTATTAAATTTAAAAAACACTCCATTGTACTAAAATCACAAACCATTTACTGCCGAAAAAGTTCATTTCAAATCAAATATAAAAACGTCAAAAAATTGCAATTTCGCAAATCAACAATTTCCTTCATGATTCGATTGGCGAAATAATTTTTCACCCCTCCATCATGCTTAATCGCCCTTCTCTAAAGTTGCTGGAAGGGTTAAGTTTTTATTTGGATTTTTTTTACGACAATAAATTTTTTTGAATCCTAGTAAGCACTAGATATCATGTCAAAAGTGACACGTAATATGAATAATCAATCAAATAGACTATAATGTATAGTGGCCCTCATATTTATATTATTAGATTAAAAGAGTAATACATAATAAAGACAAATGAGTCAAACTCATATACTTAATATTAAAATCTAATAATATATTGTTATAATATACCTTCGAATAAAATTGATATAGTCTTTTAGAAGAAGAACTTTATCGTCCGCTGCGATGTTTATGAGTTGAAGAATTAATGTATATAGTTGCATGAAAAAGATATCGATTTATAAAAAATAAAATAAAATAAACTCATTAAGAATCAATACTTCACTTTATCCTTAAAAGAGAGAGAAGAAAAGCCGACAGAGAACTCGAGTAGAGAGTGTTATATTGGGGAGTTCGGGAGAGTCGAAAGCACCAACGAGACTAATGCTCCAGAACCACAAGAGAGAGAGAGAGAGAGAGAGAGAGAGAGAGAGAGAGAGAGAGAGAGAGAGAGAGAGAGAGAGAGAGAGAGAGAGAGAGAGAGAGAGAGAGCACATCACAACTCAAAACATTAAGGTTTTGGGTGAATATGTGGCGTCAAGGCCTCTTGTAATCCGGAATATTTGACCCATTAACACTTCTGGATCTCGTTCCCCGGACACCCTAACAAGTGGTATCAGAGCTTGGTTGGTCCGATGGGGCAGCAGAAGTGGAACCTATAGTGCGAATCAAGGCTAGTGATGTGGGTGAATCACACTTGTAAGAGAGATTGTTGGATTTCAAGTGTGAAAATGATAAAGTGTCACATTGACTAGAGATGTAGTTAAATATTTGTTTTGGAGGTTGTGAGTGTACTGAGAGTCTGAGTTAGTTGAGAGTATATTATGTGTTGTAAAGATTTTCGCATAGTGTTATTCTCTAATTGTCTATTGACAACGAGCGTGATTTTTTCTTCGACTTTAAAATTTTCACGTTATGTTCTTATGTTGTGTTTGTGTTACTCTTTTTTCTCTATGTTTTGTTTGTTTTTTCCTAACAATTGATATCAGAATCTGATTGAACACTTTTTAAATAAGATAACACACTCTTATCACTTTAAAATTTTGAATGAATATATAATATCTCTTTCAATTATATATCGCTCTTAACCTGAATGTGATTACTACTAGTGATGACCCAACATGTTATCCTCTAAGTAAGTAAAATAGGCGTCCTAAACTAGTTAGTCCGGAATTTGATGGATGCCATGGCCAATGCTATGACTAAAATCAAGTAACATAGTGAATGAGTCACATAAAAGGTTGTTTGTTTGTGCTTTCTCAAAGATGACTATGATGACGTGTTCCACTTCTCTCTTCTCCATTTGCATTGCACAAAGTACATAGATGTTTTTCATTCATTTGACACCAGAAAGTCATAAATAAACTGCTCCAATTCAATCTAAAATCATTTCTTCACCGTTAATTCATCCCATAATTAAAGCTATTTTTCTTTTCATGCTTTAACGCCGCATAGCCACCACAGATATAGCAAAGCCCTCCCCATTTGGTCACTCATTCTCAGCCATCAAAACCCCCTTTTCCTTATTTCTTTCAATCAATAATAATGGATAAACGGAAACGAATTTCTGATTTCTCTCTCTCTCTCTTCCAAACGGATCATTCATCTTATTGCAAAAGCCATTCGATGCTCTTCCAAGATGGAGCTCTTGTCAGACGAGGTTGGCTTTCTTTTTCTCATTCCTCAAGCAATGCCAGTTGTTTTCTTTTGATCTCATAGATATGGATTAACTTATCTGATTTGCCAGAACCCTTTGTATTCCGGTGATCAAGGTGCACTCGCTCTTCCATCTGTATTGGATATAACAGATGGATCTATGAAGCTGATAAATTCCCATCCTGCTATGATGCATCATCATCATTCTCAAAATCTTGGTCGTTCTATATTTTTGAAACGATCACGGTATTACTATGGCCACCAGTATTCTCGACGTAACTCTGCCAATCATGCCAATGCATCGTCTTCTCGCAGCAAAGGTTCTTCCTCATTCGATGACAGCCTTTCCTTCAAGTTGGCTCCTCAACCCAACTCACAGCCCAGACAACATACAGGTGTGCCTTTTGTGCATTGAATTTTACTAGCAAGATTGCTTATTCATTATTATTCAAGCTTTTCTTGTTTATTTTCCGATTTATTTTAGAGTATAGAGAGAAGACATGTTCTAGGCCAGAGAGAATCCGATCAAGTTCTTTCACGATGGATTCAGTATCACAGGACGTCGTGAAGATGGTTTGCATGATATGTGAGAAGCCACTGAGACAGAAATTTAATTTTATGGCGAACTCACTGTCTTGCAATGAACTTGCAGTTGTAGCAGTTTTAGTATGTGGTCATGTTTATCATGCGGATTGTCTCGAGCAAAGAACTAGCCTCCAAGAACTACGCGATCCATCATGCCCTATATGTACAGGTTTATTCTTGCAGGATCATGAATGTAAAGAACAAGAGTAGTTTTCAAGTAGATATTGAAAATTTGTGGTATACTTTGAAAATTCATTAGGCTTATATATGGGATTGTAATATTGTTATGTAACAACTACTGAGTGGTGATGCAGAAATTGTAGTAGCTGTAAATATTTTAGAATTTAACAGATATATACCAGTTGAAATAATTGTTTGATCTGCATTCTTCAATGTATTTTTTTAAGTCTCTCGGATCTGATGGTTTTCGATAAGTCTTTTTTGAACAATATTGGTATATTATTGGTGAAGATGTGTGCAACCTTGTTATCCAAGCTCTTGAAACCGGTTCGTTCAATCCTTTTCTTTCTGAAACTCTCTAATTCTAAAAGTTGATTGTCCTAAACATTTCAAAGATTTTATGTCTATTAATTTATGTAATTTTCAAAGACTTAGCCATTAAAATGAGACCCTCTTGGTTGGACATTGTTGGCCTATACAATAGTGGTATCCTACCAAGGAAGTGCACTTGCTATAGTGCTATAGTTCTTCAAAAGATCATTCATTCCATGCTTAAGTCTTAAAAAGAAAAATGGTGATGTTGCTTGATAAAATATCTTAGAAAATGCCTATGAGCATATTTGTTGGTATTACTAGAAGTTTTGTTATAAGGACCTTGTGACTTGCATGGAAATGTTTTCTCTTGCTACATCTATCATGTGCTTAAAAACTCATGGAAGCCTATTCAAGTGTCTACAGAGAATTCAAATACACCTATGCAGAACTAATGGCTTTTTATCATGGACTGAATTTATCAATGAATAATGATTGCACTTATCCTCTGTTGTTATTTAGACTCCAATATATATATATATTGCCCACAATTTTAGTCCAAACATATTTAATTATCTTTTAATTTGTAAATTTTTGAATTATTTATTATAATTATGTTTAGAATATTGTAATAAGTTCCACCGCAACAATTTAGAATATCTTAACACATAAGATGAATTAATAAAGTTCTATTTCATTTTGAATCACTATGTCCTTAAAGAAATCTCTTTCCATAGATGTTTATGGTGTTAATTTTACTGACTACTAAGAAAGAACTGATTTTATTTTAATTGAAAAAAAATTTACTTTGATTTATTAGGTGAGATAAAGAAGAGTGTCATTGAAAATATAAAATGTTTCTCCACTAAAAATATTTTCAGATTGTTTTGGTAACACACTATTTTTCATCTCGATTGAAAAAATATCTAATGTGACACACACACACACATATATATATATATATATATATATATATATATATATATATATATATATATATATATATATATATATATATATATATATATATATATATATATATATAGTTTTATTAACATACAAAATTTTCTAATTTCACATTATTTTCATTTCAATTTATAAGTACAATTTTGTTGATAAATTCTAAATCTTGTTTTTTTATCATCATTTTGAACTTTGGTGGAGATCAAATGCAAAATTTTATTGCAATCCCAAGTGAAATATATTCTTATAATGTATCAGTTACAAGATAAAATATTAGGTAAGAAATATCAAACTTGAACGAATACTTTTTATGCTCTTGTAATTCAAACGCTTACACCTAAGCACCCAACATATATTGAGCCTCTCACCTAACATGAGCAGGTCTTCAAAACTATCATAAACACCACCGTACAAGGCTTATCTTCGCCATAGGAAAACCCTAACCACTATTATTTGTTATAACTAAGGCATCTGAGTGCCCCTGCCCTTGAAGGGGTGTTATGCTCACATGTACTTTTTGACCAGTACAGTTTTCCCTATTCTTTAAGTTTTTCTTCCGTTCATAAACCAGAAATGAGAAGGTGAACGAAGGTGATGACGAATTGTAGCTTCCTAGGCGGTGGAGTGAGAGGACCTAAAAGGTTAGAAATCAAACACTCAAGTCAGTATATGAATAAGAAGAGTGAAATGAAATTGTATTTGAAATTTATTACCTAATTTTGGCGCATTCCCTATATATAATAGAGAGAGAATAACTAACTTACTATTAGTTAGAAGCGAATTACGGAGCACCATTAGATGTTTTACGGTTGGGATCTTATATGATCACTAGAAGTATAATCTTCGTGAATTAGGAAGATTATGGAAAGGATGGAACCCATATTCGACTACTTAATCAGGATCTGTATAAACGGTATGAGCGCATCTGAGGTCGATCTGATCAGCTCAGAACAGTTGCCTCTAAACTCTTGTCTTCATGTAGTAAGTTGGGGGCTTGACTTTTCAACCCTGAATTCCAACCATCTCCTGATTAATTTTAAGGCAGGTAGCTCAGAACCGCTCCAGTTCCTCCAAGGAACCATGCTGTGATACGGTGGCAGAATCAATTGTTTTGAAAATGTTGGTTTGCGTTTTGCGTTTTGTATTCGCAAAATGTCGCAGTAAGTAAGAGTCGTCATTGACTTTTATTTTATCCAATCGGAAAGGAAAAAAAGCACAGAAAAAATCATTTTTCGAGATATTCTGAGTACGGGGGGTAGATTATAGAAAGGGAAGGTATTAACACCCTTTCTATCCATGGTTTTCCATGGGCTCTTAGGTACTTGCTCATCTTTTAAAATTGCTTGTGTGTGTTTGTTTTGAAATTTTTTGTTTTACTTTGTTTTAACCCTTGTTTCTGTCCTCAAGAGTGTTATGAAGTATTTTTGAAAACTTTGTTTGAAAAAAGTGTAAGTGTGAAAAGTTTGATTTTGAGAAAGTACATATTATCATCTACCTACTCGAAAAAAGATCGTTTCTATTCTTGTTTCCTTTAGACAATGATATCCTACAATTGAGAAATAGGTAGCCCCGTCGTTGGAATTGTAAGGGTCAATTCGAAAGGGACATACGATCACTAAAGCAATATTAGGACGTCTTGGTAATAACCCTAGAGCCTTAAGATCATATTCGAGGCAACATTTCCGAGGCAACATTTTCGAGCGGGACATTTGATCTTTGTTTAGACAGAAGGGCAACCACTAAGACACTCTATACTTAATGACCGTTTACCAAAGGCAACCGAAGTGAGAGTATACCCTAAGAGTGCGCATGTGCGAGTGATTTGATTTCAGTTATTATCTTTGCACATTAGGGTTTTCTAGCCGTTTTAAATTATCATGCAATCTTGTCATACAATCCTATTAACATACATCTAACAGTTAATATTTGCAAGAATTAAGATGCGATAAATAAAACCTACGCTATTACAAGGCTTCGGGGTAGGGATTAATTACATAGCCAAAAAACCCGTAAAAACAATAAATAAAGAAAATCCTAATTAAACTATTACATACCGTAAGCAGTTACATTAATATTGCAAAAAAATATAAACGCGCGCGATGAATCGACAACGAGAGATTTAGGGTTTTGACCCTAACTACCTAATTGTTATTTAAAAGAAAATTTATTTTTTGTCGTTTTTGTGCTATTTTAAGAAAATAAGGTTTAATTGAATAAATAAAAACCTAATTACTAATTAATTTAAAATTTAAGAAAAATAATTGAATTAACATATTTTTGTATTTTTTTTATTTGTTTTGAAAAAGAAATAAAAATTAAATCACAAGCTAACCCTAATTTTTCTAATTGATTTTAATTATATATAAAAAGTTAGAATTACCCTAAATTAAATTTAAACTAAATATTAAATTAAATTTGATAAAATAAAATAAAAACCTAATTCTAAATTTGTGAAACTTGATTTTATGATTTTTTGAAAAAAAAAGAAACTAATTTTGGTTAACAAATAATTTAAGAAAATTAAATAAATAAAAGGAAATAGAAAAAAGAATAAGAATGGGCCTGGTTGCTGTTTAGCAAGAAAGGGGGTGTGGTTGGCAATTCTGAGCCCAACAATGCTCTTGGCCCTATTGACTTTGCCAGATCTTGTATGTCAGCTTGACTCAAGTGCATGGTAGTCCTTCAGGGAGAAGGCGTTGGATCTGAAGCTTTGATGATCTGATGGTTGGACGATGATGGTGTATGGTAGACTCGTGGGATGCTAGCATGCCTAAATATGTAAGAAAAAATAATATGAAGCATTGTTGGGACCTGGGGATCGAACCCAGATCCTTGAACATTATCACACTGCGCGCTTGCCATCTGAACTAGCCATGTTAGTTGTACAAATAATAACAAACAATTATTATATGATAAAACCAAAATATCAATTCTTAAAATGCGCACAGATTCAAATTTCCCATTCACAGCATGCCACACCATCATCTTCCTCGTTGCCTCCGTCGTTTTAGATCAAATACTTTTACCTACGGACACTGGGCTTAGGTACAACCCTTGTCCACTCCAAAATCATGTCCATGTATGATAAATCACAACCAATGGTACCAATCAACTCGTTGCAACCTCACGAGCATCATGGTACCATTATTAATGGCCAATTGTTCCTGTATGAAAAACCCCTAAAAATGGAGCGTGAACCCTAGCCATGGCATCTTGGTATACAATCAATAAAAATGCAATTAATCATAACCATTAGTTTGCAAACATCTCAAGGATTAAGAATATGTCAATTAATCATGCTAAATATGCCAGAATTAAGGTTTTCGAATTCAAGAAAATGCGTAAACCGTATGACTCTTACAGTGTGATTCTGAGCGTGAGGAAGCTTGCTAGCGATTGAATCTTGATCCTGGGGAGTCCAGCAATCGATTGGTGTAACTAGAATGCCTTGAGGTGGCCTGAAACCTGGAAATCAATTTGCAACTTTTCTTGAATTTTTTGAAACTGGTTCTTTCTCTTTTCACGCCTCTAGCCTCTTGCTTTTGGTCTTCACTTGTTCCTTATGTATAGTAGAATGCATTAGGGTTACAATTCTGTATCAAATCTCTCAATTATGATTATTGATTCATGATTTGATCCTTGTGCAAAATCTTTGCAAATCAAGCAAATTCAATCTTTTTGTGTCCATTTGAACCTTGCACGATTTGATCTTGTTTCAAGTTGTGTAATGAACCTAAACATGCACAAAATCTCAA